TGTCGGACGCTGTGCCGAGTGCTCGCACGTTCCACTCCTTGTGCCAGTGTGGGGTTGGCGTTGGTGTCTCTGCCATCAGACCAGGCTGGGGGGCACCACAGAGCCAGGAGTGTCATCACTTGATACACGAGTCCCTGTCTCCCTCGGAGCGACGGCGCTGTGTGCTCCGGGCGTGTGTCTGCCCTCCGGGGTCTGTGTGTGTGCACCCCGGTGTCGTGATGTGCCCTCAGGCCGGGGTTCCCAGACGGGCAAGCCTGCTCCTTACTGTGGGGCCCCTGGTCATCCCGTCCCGTCTCCTGCAGCTCCTCAGCCCTTGGTCTGTGCTGGCTGGCAGCAGACAAGGCGTGGGTAGAGGAGCAATTTCTAGAAGGCTGGCAGCCTTGCTGCTAGTTAAGGGGGTAGAGGAGAAGGCTGCACGCAGAGGCGGTGAATGCCTGAAGACTAGGGATGGGGTGCAGCTGGGCATGTTTGGGGGCTCCGATTAATCTCTTGGTGCTCGCCCGTTAAGGGGGCCCAGACAGGCGGGGCCCTGCAGGCAGACCGCACGAGGAGTGTGGGTGTTGTCCTCCCCCACTCGGAAGAGACTTGGGTTTTATGCAGGGAAGACGGATCGAAGGACCTGGCTGCGGACAGGGGAACGTCCTCTTTTACCCTGGACCTTTCTGGAGTTGGGGAATCCGTTGCCTCTCAAGGCAGCCTGCGCTTAGTTTTTCCTTCTTACCATAAAGTAAATCACACAGAACCCATTTTTAGTGATGGATGAGTTGTTACAAGGCGGACACCCAGGTCACCACCCTGGGAGCTCGTTCCTGAGCCCTGTCCTGCCCCAATGACACCACTGCTGGGTTCCTCGCGCCCTTGGCAGGTTTCACCCAAGGGCACCTCTGGACACTAGGGTTTAGTCTCACCCGTTTCTAAACAGTTCTTGTTCCTTAATCCTGTTTCAGTCTGTGCTCGTTCCTTTTCTTCACACTGTGTAGGTCGCGGTGGTCAGGCCTGGGCTGCCTGGCAGAGGCTTCGCCTTTCGTGTAGGGCTCCTGGGAGTGTCTTCATTTGGCTCCTAAGTCCTTTTGAAGTGGTCCTGGTGGCATGTGGTCCTGGGCAGCTCCCCAGCTCCTGGTTAGGCGTGTCCAGGCTCTTGGCTGCAGTTCCCTCAAAAGGAAATGCCACAAAAAGCCACAAAACCTCTTATTATCTCATCTGTGCAAGAGAAGAATAGCATGTCGGCCAGAGCTGAGGGCAGGAGAGCCTCTAGCAGACCCAGGTGTCCACGGGGGGCCCCTGCGCCCACAGTCCCTGCTCCGTGGGGCCTGGGGCCAGGCTGCTCCAGCCCTGTCCTTCCCGAGTCGCACGCAGCGTCCATGGACACCGGGGGCTCTCGGGGCTCTCCTGTCCTCAGGTCTGGGCGTGTGCTGTTCTCTCTGCCTTCTCTCGTGCAGGCATGCTACCAGGGGGGTTCACGGCTTGTCACAGTTTTCCTTTTGAGGGGACTGCGGCTCGGAGGTGTTGCAGAGCGATCGGAGGCTGCTCTGGGCCTCCCACCTCCGTGCCTGCCCCAGGTGCACTCTTGTCACATGCTCTGTGCTGCTCCGTGGAGCCCTAGCTGCCCTGATTTGAAGAAGTGTGTGTGTGTGTGTGCGCGTTTGTGTGTATGTCTGTATATGTGTTTGTGTGTGTATGTCTCTGTGTATGTGTTCTGTGTGTATGTCTCTCTGTGTTACGTGTGTATGTGAGTGTATGTATATGGGTTTGTGTGTCTGTGGTATGTATGTGTGTTGTGTGTGGTATGTATGTATGTGTATGTGGTGCCTGTGTGTGTGAATGTATGTGTTTGTGTAGGTGAGTATGTTAGGTGCATGTCTCTGTATGTGTTATGTGTGTATGTCTCTGTTATGTGTGTTATATGTGCATGTGAGTGTATATGTGTATAGGTTTGTGTGTCTGTGGTATGTATGTGTTTGTGTTGTGCGTGGCATGTATGTGTGTTGTATGTGTATGTAGTGTATGTGTTTGGCAGATGCGTATGTTGTGTGTGTGTATGTTTTGCGAGTGTTGCGTGTGTTGTGTGTGTGTATGCATGTTGTAAATCGGCCAATTAAAAGAAAAGTTCTGGATGAGAAGCTGTGGCTTTTTGTCTCCGTTTTTGTTCCACAGCGGGAGTGTGGTTTAACTCTTTCTGTTTCTCCCGGTGGTTACCTCTGCAGCTCTAAACTGTGTGTGCTTTTAGTTTTGTGACTGAACAAGCTTAGACGAAATCTGTAGACGCCACTGAGGAAAGGTGACGTAGCTCATTTAGTGTGACGTCTCTCTGCGCCCCAGGTGTTTTATTTTCTCTGCTCCAGAGCGGACCGGTACCGACCCGGGGTGTTCCTGGGGCTCAGCGAGCAGATGAGTGTGCGCATGCCGGGGAACAGGCACAGGGGCCCCTGGAAGGCTAGTCAGCACAGACCTGCGCACCCGTGTGAGGGCATGCGTGTGCACACACCTGTGCTGCACACATGGCCTCCTGTGCAGAGAGCTTTGCCCTTGCCCAGGCCAGGCAGCGTGGGGCACTGTCGTGGCACTGTCAGCCAGGTCCAAAAAACCTGCTTTTTCACAAAGATACTACTTTTTAAGAAAAATTTCAGAAAAAATGTTTGCCCTTAACCTGTTCCCTGGGGGCGTCGGGCTGCCGGTGCCACCCAGCACGCAGGCCCTGAGCCAGCCGCCTGCTTCCTGGCGCAGCCTTCCGCTGGCCAGCCGTCACGCAGGGCGGCACGGGCCGTGGTTACTGCTGCGAACGGCCTTCCGGGCATGCTTGAGGGCTGGGCAGAGAGTGACCGGCGCCGGCGGTTGGGTTCGTCTGTCTCGAGGGCGGGAGCTGCTGTTGCGGCTCCCGTCCCAGCACCTGCACAGTGCGTGGGGATGGAGCCTCTGCGCCGGCCTTTGGTTTTCCTGTCCTGGCCACCTGTTCCATCTGGAGTTTTCGAGGGTAGGATTGTCTCCAAGGAGTGCTCCTTTAATTCAGTAAAAATTTAGCCCTGTGTATTAGCAAATGCTAGTGCAGGGTGAGTGCTGTCCTGGGAGTGCTCTAGGGGAGGCAGGTTGTCTCACTGGGGAAGGCGAGGCCAGTTTTGGACGTGGCGATGGTCGAGTGAGGCTGTGAGGGCCAGCTGGGCAGGGTGAGCTCGTGTCCTGGGGATCTGCAGCCGCTGGCCTGGCAGGGCTCTCGTGCCGCAATCTGGTGCGGGCAGGTTGCTGCGGAGGCCTCTTACCCCCACGGGAGTAAAAGACTCCTAAACCAAGACCCGCCTGAGAGGGTCTCTTCAGTAGTCAGCTTTATTGGTACGGACTTGTTTTATACACAACTCGCTTTATCCTGTGTGATGAACAATTGTATTTTTTTCAGTACTACTTAAAGATGGGTAGCCCTAGTATAGTCACCTGTGCTTTCCAGGCCTCAGTTTCCCCACTTAGGCCAGGGAGTTAGACTGCATGTGGCCTCCTCCCCTGTCCCACGCCTGACTGTCCCACACATGCCCATGTTTGTTGAATGAAGGCCACTTGGGCAATAAACTTGCATGTGTTGAATGTTTGTCATCTTTCTAAGGTACCTTCTCTTTTGGGTACACTGGAGAATGCCCAGACAAACTCCAACTGTTTCCGCTCACACCACGGTTAACGCGGGGGACTTCTCCCCTCCAGTGAGCAGCAGCAGTTCTGCCGTGGGCACCAGCTGGGTGTCCTCAGACCCAACCCTGGCGCTGTCCACCTGGAGATCCCACAGGCCGGGGCTCCCAGGGCAGCCCTCCCTCCAGCGTCAGTCTCGAGCTCCAGGTCCCCTCACCTGTGCTTCTGACTGATCCACTATAAATAGAGGATCCCCCCACCCCCTCCTTCAGTGGTGTTGCTTTGCTTGAGCAGCTCACAGAGCTCAGGGAATCACGCTTTCCAGTTGATTATAAAAGATGTTACAACGTGGGTGCAGAGATGCGTGTGGGGAAGGGTGTGGAGCCTCCCTCCCTCCCAGGCTGCGCCACCTCCCAGACCGCTGTGCATTCAGCTCTGCAGAGCACTCTGAACCCATCCCCTTGGGCCCTTTGTGGAGACTTCACTGGACAGGTGGTTGATAACCGTAGACATGTGACTGGATGGGAGGGTGGGGCTGGTGCCGAGTGGGGGGAGCCCCGCAAGGCCTGTCTGTCCAGATTCTTCTCATCCTCCCCGCTTAGCAGCTTAGCATTCCTTCCCCCGGGTTGTACGGCAGGACCCTGCTGCAGTGGGGGTCTTGTGACCTGCAGTCAGACAAGGTGGGGCAGAGAATTTCGTTCTGGCCAAGATAGAAAGCGAAGAGATTAGAGTACATCTTTGGTTCCGTGGCCTGGGGAGAAATAACAGTGGCTGTGGAAATTATGAGTCAGGAACTGTGGACCAATATATACATATAATATCACAACTGGATATTATAAAAGTGGACTTACTGGATTTTGTAGGCTGGTGAATTTCATAAGAAAAGAAAATTGGAGGTCTACGGTAGTTAAAACTGTGTACTTTTATCTTTGGCCATGAAAGTCCATTTCGGGAGTGAACTGTTATTAGCTGATAATGCTCTATTGTGGAAAACGTCCTGTGGGTGTTTTGAGCGCCTTTCAGTTCCAGACTGGGTCAAAAAGGTAGAATTAAAAAGCTTCCCCTGGTGGAGCGTTAGTGGATTTGCTCCGTCCCTCCGCCCTGACCTGAGTTCTCCCCGCTGACTGCGCCGGACCGTGGCTCGTGGCTCGCAGCACGTCAGGGCCCTGATTCCGCCGCAACCTCTTCCCGCCGTCCCTGGTTGGAGGCAGATTTCTCTCTCCTCCTTCCCTGGGGCCCTTCTCCTGTCTGGGGACGGTGGGCGGAACTGGGGGCTCCAGGGCCCACTCCTGAAAGTGGCGCATCCGCCCGTGGTTGTGTGTGGGGTCCGGGCAGGGGCGTGCGGCTTTGGAGAGCAGTTGAGTAAGAGCGCCTTTGTGTTCTCCTTCTAGGCAAAAGCAAAGAAGCAGAAATAAAGAGGATAAACAAGGAACTGGCGAATATTAGATCGAAATTTAAAGGTAAGTGTGTTTAACCTTTCCGTGAAATGTTCTGTTCTAAATTTTACACAATAAGGACCTGGTGTTTGATTACCATCTTTCCTCACCCCTAAAGCAAAGTTAAGTTCTCAGTTTGTGCAGTGACTGTTGTGCTCTGTCAGAATTAAAAGCTGCTCAACGTTGAGCCTGGCTGCTCTTGCGCTATTCGAGTGGCATGTGTCGAGGTGGCTGGCGAGGGCGGCCCCTGCCGGGCACCCACCTTTTCTTGGGCTGGAACGTCACTATCTGGCGTCTGGCGAGTGCTGCTCAGTGCCGTGTGGCGTTGGGCAGGACCTGACATGCTAGAAGCTCAAAGCATGAATGTTAAATGCAAGACATGCTCTACTCAAGGCTGCTGCTACTTCTGAAGTATTACAAAGTCATTTAAGCGCTCCCAAGTCAAAGTGTGTCTCGCTGTGCTGATGAGTGACTCAGCATGTGACAGTGGGCGCAGACCTGCAGGCCAGTTTGTGTGCGACCTTCCCCGAACATCCTCATTTTGAAGAATTGCATGGCATAGGTTTACGTTTCAGTACCTAGGTCATTTGTGAGCGCCCAGTGAATCTGTCAAGCCTCAGTTCTTTGGTTAGTTTTACAGGTTTGAGAGCTGGCTCAACTGGCTGAGCGTACTTCAGCCACAGAGTAGCTGGAATTGCCCAGAAACAGGGAGCAGAGGAGAGGGCTGGGACGGAACCCTGGGGACCCAGAGGGACAGGCAGAAGACAGCCCTGGGGACTCCCTAAAAATTTCTTGGGGTGGGTGCTTTGTAGGGGCTTGAGAATGGACATCTTTTATTTTCAGTTGATGGAAAAACTAGTAGAACTTGAATTGTCACTAATTAGTGGATCCCCTGTTGGGCCCCAGGAAGAGTTAGGTTTTAGTATTTTATGACCAGGGCCAAGGATTCTCTGGAAGGTCTGTGAAACTCTTGGAATTATTGGTGGAATAGTTTGCTTGTGTGTATTTTTGGGGGAAGCGCCTGTAACTTTGCTTGCTTCATGAAGGGCAGGGATATCTTGAGGTAGCCAGTCCAGATTCCTGTCCCTGCCCCTCCTGTTGCACTGCCTTGGCAGGTTGCTCCTCTGCCTTCTCTTTTCAAACAGGGTCTTGCTCTGTCTCCTGGGCTGGAGAGCAGCGGTGTGATCACAGCTCACTGCAGCCTCCAACTCCAGGGCTCCAGCGATCCTCCTACCTCAGCCTCCCGAGTAACTGGGACTATAGGCCACTGAGCCTGGCTAATTATTTATGTATATGTATGTAGAGTTGGGTGTCTTGCCGTTGCCCAGGTTGGTCTCAGACTCCTGGGTTCAAGTGATCTTCCCACCTTGGCCTTCCAAAATGCTGGTGTTACAGGTGTGAGCCGCCGCACCTGACCTGTACCTCTGTTCCCAGCTATAAAATGGGGGTACTAATAATATGAAGGTGGGTCCTCCAGGGTGCAGACCCTGCAGTACAAACACTTTGTTAGAAGGCCACAGCGGAGGAAAGGAAAGGGAAGCAGTAGGAGGAGTGGGTCTCACAGAATCCCTACCGCCAGCCCCTAGGAGCATTGGGGCCTCGGTTGCCTGTTGGAGGAGCCTGGCACTAGGCTGGGAGGGCCGGCCCCAGCACCGCCCCCTCGGCAGTCCTGACAAAGGCAGCCCATCAGCCAGCCTTGCTCTTGGCCACTGCCGGGCTTTTTCTAACAGGGTCCATGTCTGCTATTCTAATTGTATGAGAAAATACATGCAAGTGGCTTGATAGAAAGTGAATGACTTGCAAATGTTAGTCTGTATGTTGTTGTAAAAAGAGTTCACGGCCCTCAGAGTGGTAAAAATTAAATTTGAATGTTGAGATTTTTATAGGTTTTAGGATAATAATCTAATTTGTTGAGATGTAAATTTAAAGACTTCGTCTTTAAAGCTCTTAAATTTACAGACTGTCTGTGTGAACGTTTCAGGACTGAAGAAGGTGTCTGTCGCTTCTCTGCCCCCGTGCTGTCTAGAGCTCAGCCATCCTGCGCAGGGAGGTCTCTTACCTCTCAGCCAGTCGGCGTTTGTCGAGCGCGTTTGTACCCTGAGGACTAGCGGCAGATGCAAGGGAAAGTCGCTCCTGTCCTTAAGAAACGTGCAGTCTGAGGCCTCTGCTCCCAGTCGTGGCAGATTAGATGGCGCAGGTCCGTGCCGATAGAACAGGATGCAGGTCACACTGACAGGTCCAATTTCCCAGCAGCCTTGTTGAAGAAAAGCAGAAAAGAGGCAGACTAAGTTTAATAACGTATTTTATTTAGCCTGATATATGTAAAATATCATTGCAACGTGTAATCAATAGAAAAAAACCTCACTAAAACATTTTACAATTTTGTGTACCAAGTCTCTGAAGTCTGGTGTGCATTGTACACTTAGAGTGTATCTCAGTTTTATTTCATTTTACTTCATTTTATTTATTTATTTATTTATTTATTTATTTATTTATTTATTTATTTATTTATTTATTTATTTTAAGAGACAGGGTCTTGCTATGTTGCTCAGGCTGGAGTGCAGTGGCTATTCACAGGTGCGATCCCACTACTGATCAGCACGGGAGTTTTGACCTGCTCCGTTTCCGACCTGGGCCAGTTCACCCCTCCTTAGGCAACCTGGTGGTCCCCGCTCTCGGGAGGTCACCATATTGATGCCGAACTCAGTGCGGACACCCGATTGGCATAGCGCACTACAGCCCAGAGCTCCTGGGCTCAAGCGATCCTCCCATCTCAGCCTCCCGAGTAGCTGGGGCTACAGGCGCGGGCCACCGAATCCAGCGGAGCATGTCTCAGTTTGGACTAGGCATGTGTGTCAAGTGTACGCTAAGCACATGTGGCGTGAGGCCATCGTATTGTACACTGCTGATGTAGATCAACCCTTGCATTGGAGACAATTTAAAAAGATTGACAGAGCATTAAAAAAATGTTAAAAGCATCAAAGAATAACAAGAAGAGTAGCCCCAGCTACTCGGGAGGCTGAGATGGGAGGATCGCTTGAGCCCAGGAGCTCTGGGCTGTAGTGCGCTATGCCAATCGGGTGTCCGCACTGAGTTCGGCATCAATATGGTGACCTCCCGAGAGCGGGGACCACCAGGTTGCCTAAGGAGGGGTGAACTGGCCCAGGTCGGAAACGGAGCAGGTCAAAACTCCCGTGCTGATCAGTAGTGGGATCGCACCTGTGAATAGCCACTGCACTCCAGCCTGAGCAACATAGCAAGACCCTGTCTCTTAAAATAAATAAATAAATAAATAAATAAATAAATAAATAAAAAAAAAAAAAAAAAAAAAGAATAACAAGAAAGAAGAATCACTGGGTCATACTGGGAGAAGCAAAAACCCACGTGGGCAAGTGCCGCAGCTGGTCGTGCCTCAGGAGCACCTGCTAGTCCCAGAGAAACAGCTACAGAAAGGCGCTGTGCTTCTGGTGAGCCTGAAGGTGTAGGACGTGGTCATCCGTCAGGGCGAGTGTGCCCCACAGGAGATGCTGGCAAGACCAGGAGGCTGGGGAGGGGTGCTACTGAAGTCTCCTGGGTGGAGGCCTTCTTGATCCTTGAGTGTAGCCTTCTGACGGAATCCAAATATTAAATGAGGAAATCATCTTAATAAAGGGATTTGTTCTGTGAAGTTTAGTTTGTGTCAGCTGCACTTGGGGATCTGGAGGCCACATGTGGCCTTGAGGCTGCGGGTTTCCAGCCCTGGATGGTCAGAGATAATCAGGGACAGAGAAGTAAGATGCCATGGGTGAGAACCAGCAGTGGCAATGGAAACAGGATTGCAGAGGCCCGTGATGCAGACCCAGGTTATATGAAGAACTCGGCTTCCTGTGTTCAAAGAAATAAACTTGAGAACCTCAGCAGGAAACTCGGAAGGTATAAAACGAGACATGGCAGGTTTTGAATAAGGCCAAATGGAAATTCTAGAACTGAAACACACAGTAGTCGAAATGAAGAACTCACATTGGATGGCTGTGATGACTAACATAGTTGAAGAGAGATTTGGTGTTGCGGAAGAGAGCTCGGGAAAAACTGTCCTGAATGCAGCACAGCTGGAGGGGAAGATGGAGAGCAGAGGGTGGGTAGGAGATGTGGCGCGTAAGAAGGTCTGAGAGGGTAACTGGTGCCCAGGAGGAAAGGGGGAGGATAGAACAGAGGCACTGTTGGAAGGGAATTCGTAAGAAATCTTGAGGCAAGCTGGGTGCGCCTGCAGTCCCAGCTGCTCGTGAGGCTGAGGCAGCAGGGTCGCTGGAGCCCAGGAGTCAAGTGCCCACTTGGGCAACATAGCAAGACCCCGTCTCTTAAAAAAAGAAATTCATGAAACACAGAATAAATAAAGATTTGACAAACAGATACAGGAGCCGGGAGTGTGTGGGCCGACAGCTTACTCCTCAGTAGCAACACAGAAGGCAGGAACTGGCAGCAAACCCCACTCCACAGTACTCAGAAAGTGACAACCAAGTACAAAGTCTATACCCAGCAAAAATATCTTTTGAGAATGAAGCTAAAAAAGACCTTTTTAAGACAAAAATGGAGAGGAGTTTCCGTCAGAAGGCCTGTGCTAAAAGAAACTCTAAAGGGAAAGCCGCAGATAAAATCGTGGAGACAGAGAAAGACCAGAAGGAAGGGCAGGCGTGCAGGTGATCCACAGGTCACAGTGCGTGACGGTGCTGTCCTGTGGAGATCAGAATGGATCTGCAAGTAAAATACTTGGCGGCAAACAAGAGACGATAGAGCTTGAGTAGCCCCATGAACTTAGAGCGTTGAACCTGTAATTTAAAAATCTGCCATCAGGAATGCTGTAGGCCCAGATGGTTTCTCTGTGATGTTTCATCCTTTAAGGCAGTGGTCCCCTGGCAGCAGGGACTGGTTTCATGGAGACAGTTTTTCCAGGGGGCTTGGGGGGGGCTCAACCGGTGCCTCGAGTGATGAAGCTTCGCTTGTCTGCGGCTCATTCCTGCTGTACTGTCCCCACCCCCGTTCCTAAG